GGATTTCACAAGCTTCAAAATCTCCCCTGCCCCTACCGCATCCCAAAACCAGTCCAGCTCCTCCCCGCCTCCCTAACCTGTTCTTCCTCCCACCTATCCCCTCCTCCCACCTCAAGCCGCACCTCCATCTCCTACCTACTAACCTCATCCCGCCCCCTTGACCTGTCCGTCCTCCCTGGACTGACCTATCTCCTCCCTAACTCCCCACCTACACTCACCTTTACTGGAAGTATGGGGCCATTTTTTTAATCATTCTGTTGGAGGGGAACACACCGATGGAGTGGAATAGCATGGCAGCTTGTGATGAGGCTGTGACACTTAGCAAAAACCTGGCTGTAGCAGCAACTGTACGCAATACCCCAGGCTGATGTCTTGTCCTTGAATAATCAGCCACAGTCCGGAGGTGATCTGCATCATGAGCAAGGAATAAAAGATTTTTAATCCTTTGTCTCCAGACCTGATGTCTGTCGCAGAAAGTTTTCTTCAGCTGTCGTTCACTTTTCATGTTTTAAACATCGCTGCAACTGAGTGGATGTTTTGCTTCATCGAAATGCCTCTGTTGTGGCGATTAGTTGAGTTGTCCACGGACAGGATATTTTTACAGGCTTTTCATTTATTGTCGTGTTTAACTGCTAATGGCTGGAGTTTCAGTTCAGGAGTCTCACTGAGGGTAGTTTGCCAAATCTAATTGAATTTTGATCTGCTGGACCTCCGTTTGATTTGTTGAGAAATGTGGGGCCAGAGTCATCGAATGCCGACAGTGCGAAAGAGGCTATTCGGCCCATCGGGGTGTCTGCGCTGACCCTCCAAAGAGTATCCCACCTAGACTCACCCCTCCCCACCCTAGCCGTGTAACCCTGCATTTCCCATGGCTAACCCACCTAACCCGCACATCCCTGGACACGAATTGCCAATTTAGCATGGCCAGGCATCTAACCTGCAGGAGGAAACTGGAGCACCCGGAGGAAACCCACGCAAACACAGGGAGAATGTGCAAACTCCACCCAGACCGTCGCCCGAAGCTGGAATCGAACCCAGGTTCTTGGCGCTATGAGGCAGCAGTGCTAACCGCTGAGTCACCGTGCTGCCCTAAAAATGGATTTCCACCCAGTTTTGCAAGAAGGCATCACAATTCATGATCGTCCTTCTCTTCCTCCTGTTGGAGATGCAAATTTCTGTGCTGACACCCCACTGGAATTGATGCATTATCCTGCACTGCCCGTTGGTTTCACATTTGACAGGAGGCCCAGACCAGGAGGAGAGGTGCCATGCTACCTGTGGGGGACAGCTAGAGGTGAACAAGGCAAGGCACATTCGCAAGGGAGAATGGGAGCACCTGACCAGGGTGGTCAATTCCTAGCCCATGGCCTCCATGAACTCACATGGACGGTGAACACTGTTCCTCACCACAGCTCCATTTCTCAGCCAAGCAACAGCCCCTAACCCACGAGCCTCGGGCCTAACATTCAGGTTTCAGAGTTCAGCCAAGAATTAGAATGACACTTAGATTTTATTGTCAATTGTACTCAAGTACAGGAGTACGGGGCTACAATCTGAGAGGTTAATTCTGTCTCTCTGTCACACACACACACCGCTGATACCGCCTGACATACTGAGTATTTACAGAATCTTTGTGTTTTTAATTATTTCGGACCTCGGTATCTTGCTTCTCAATTCATGGAGAACTGAACCTGGTTGGTTGAAGTGAAAGGGAGGAACTGGTCAATGCAGAATGATCAGAGGAACTG